GTATGGTTGTGTGTGTCTGTGCCCGAGAATGTATTCTTTCAACGTTGTTTAAATAGTAATTTGATATTCTATAGAATATCAAAGTATTATGTTCGATGCCTAGGAAAAACTGGAAGAATTCTTCTGTTTCCGACTTCATCGGAAGGCTCTTTGCATTGATGAGAATGCCGAGGAATTACCAGCAATGGCGGATATCCGGCTATGACGGTAACATATATATATATATATGTATATATATTCCAATTTTTTTTTCTCCCCCCACAGAGTATTGGTTGAAGGGGAGTTAGGGTAAATAAAGCTTTGACTTTTATTGACTTTCTCGAAATAAGGAAGCTACCGTAGGTTTTTTTATGAAGCCGCGAGATAGAGGGAGAGAGAAATAGGAATCTGTGGGTCGGGGTTTTAAAAGGACTCGAGGTACCAAGAGGTACGGGCTCTTGGTTCATTGCAAGTGGTTCATTATTCTCGTTTTCCCTAATGGCTTCCCTCGGAGCTATTATTCGTTGCAATTATCTCGCCGTACTCAACGAATCGAAGCCGTCTCTCTCGGTTAAACGCACGACATGTCCAAATCTTTAAAAAACGTCACCAAAATTTAACAAAATACAACTTTTAACCATAAAGATTCTTTTAGTCGAGTCAGTAAGATCTTTTCCAATCGTTTTATTATAAACAAGTGCTATATACACATTTGTTAAACAATTGTTTTTTGTTTTCTTTTATTTAAATTATCTTTAATTTTGTTTTTAAACAAAAACAAATTGAGATTCGTAAATAGGGACTTGGAAAATCTTTAAATACTGATTTTTATAGGATTCAATCGATTTCTAATGATAATGTCAGCCATTTTCAGTCCGCCATTGTTCTTTTCATAAAGTAATACCTTATTCGTAATGAACGATCTCAAAAATTCCAATATACTTATTTTAAAAAAGATCGAATCCATTTGTAATTACAAAAAAACAAGTCTGTTATTTTCGGTTAGTCATTTTATTTGTCAAGAAAATAAATTGAGATTAATAATGATTCAACGATTTTCGATAACCTCAAATATTAATTTGCCAAGCAAAACTATTACTTCTATATGCGACCCTTAAATATACATATTTTATTTACATTTTAAATTCGCTTTAAAATAAATTTAAATAATCGAATTACATATATCGAAACAAATAATTAATAATAATAGAGAAATATTGAGCAGATTTGACATAACCTATATTTTTGTTAATATTGACGAGTATGAAAATACTTGAATTTTCTCGAAACAAAAGAAAATAAATATGTGTAACCACTTTTCAAATAAATCATATTCATTTGAGTAGAAAAACAAATGTGTTATTTGATTTTCGAATGTGGCAGACAATGAGAACGATCTCTGGGGGAAGGAAACAGACGAGTAGAGATGAGTAGATGATAGGTATTGGCAGATAGGCAGGTAGGCAGGTAAAAAGGTAAGCTGGTAGCCTGTAGGATAAAGGAAGAAGGATCGTCGTTCGATATACCTCTCTTACTCAGAGATATTACCTGCATCTATATGAGGGTATCCACTGTCGCCAAACGATGAACCGGTTCAGTGTGGCGCAGACATTTGGGACGATCGTACGCATTTCGAGAAAGTGCTATGCTCGATCGTGCCACTCGCAATTCCTATAATAAACCTATATAACAATTTTTTCGTTTGTCCGAGATACAAAAGAAGAAAAACGAGAGATCAAGTGGAACGAAAAGAAGAAAAAGAAGAAGAAGAAGAATAATTGAAACGGTAGAATAAGTTTGTCAATTTGTTTTGTTCATTTCTTTTTTTGTTTTTTGCTTTTTTTGTTTCTAAATATCATATCGAATCACGCTTCGTTTATTTGATTTTATCATCATCTAAAACGTTTCATATTTTTTTCTTTTATACAAATCCCTATAAGTAGTAATATTTCATCGACGAATCGGTAAGAAAAATTATATTTCAATAATATATCGGTAATTGCATTTCATTTATTATGATTTTGTATTTTTCTTTCATTCAGAACTCGTCTAATCGTAATAATAATATTTTTGGCATTTTCTTTTTCCCTGTCTGTCCGTACGTCTCTCTCTCTCTCTCTCTCTCTCTCTCTCTCTCTCTGTCTCTCTATCTCTCTCTCTCTCTCTCTCTCTCTTACGAATAATAATCTCGGAAACCGATCCGAAGGCGTTAAAACGTGAACGTTATGTTTTATAAAAGTTAAAATCATCATTCATTAAAGTGTAGAATTCAATAAAATCGTGGAAACCGACGAATAAATACGTCTGAATGTTCGTCTTTCGAAATGGAATTGAGAATTTTGAGAGACGATTGGACGTATTTTTTTTAAGTGAACCAACCAAAGACTTCTCGTTCGAGAAGAAGCTTAGGAAAAGAAGAAGAAGAAGAAGAAGAATAATAATAATAATAAAAAGAAAAAGAAGAAGAAAATAAAGAAGATGGCAAGAAGGAGCAGCCTTATGTGTACATTCGAACCACCTCAAGAGCCAAGGTAACCGAAGCTCTACGATATTTCTATTCTTTTTTATGAGCTTTACTTTATTCTATTTTTAATTTGTCGAACGCGTAATGGTAATATTACGTATACGATTTTTTTTATCGTACCAACTATTATTTTTCTTTCTTTTTCGTTTAAAATATTCGTCGTTGTATTAGGATAAAATCGAAATGTTCGTGCGTTTAATTATCTTACGTATATTGTCATTAACTTTCACAATGAATTGTTGTTTTTTTCTTCTTTTTTTTTTTTCTCGATAAAATTTACTTCGAAATTGGTTAATTTAAAAACTTACGAACTTTTGATTCACCTTTATAATAATAATAATAATAAATCGCGTTTAAAAAAGAACAAGAAAATAATTAACCAATTAAATTACCAATCTATATATATTTACAATTAATCAAAGATCCAAGCTCCGTATAAATACTTTTGATCGATCTCAATTTGGGGCAGAGACTAGCAAACGAGAAAATATCGAACGAAATCGAGGGCAATAAAAGAGTTATCGTCGTACCCTTTGCTTCCAATGACTACCTTTTTCCACTGACTTATTACAAGATACGATAGGGTAACGTGAAATGATGTTACGTAAGCAATTTATAAGTATTTACATTAGAAGATATTTTCCTTTTCCATTTATTTTATATATTCTATACGAATGATCATTGACTATTAAAACAAATCCACGTGAGTGAATTTATATTGTATATTATATGTCTAGAAAAAGTCTATTTTATTCTCTCTCCCTCTCTCTCTGTCTCTATCTATTTATTTATCCATCACTTTCTTTCTCTTAATCTAAACCGGTTCTTCATTTTAATAGTAAAGAAAAGAGAAAGTAAGGACAACGAAATGGCGGTAAAAAAAAGAAAATGGCGAATGTGGGACCAGTTAGAATCTTTGAAAGTGAAAATAATAAATATGATTAATAAAAAGAGGAGGAGGAGGAGGAGGAGGAGGGAATTATTTTAACAGGCACGTCACGAACGAGAAACTGTCGTGATACGTTCGTGGTACGTTCCTACAGGTTGACGAACCCGCATTCTTTTTTCTCCCTCTTGTCTCTCTCCTTCTCTATCCCTCTCTCTCTCTCTCTCTCTCTTTTTCCTTGACGAAGAACATAAAGGCCCTCCCCCTCCCCCCCCCATGTACTTTAGTTTCATATCGTGAATCGTTCGTGACAATGACGAGGAGAATAGAATTTTTCGGTTACGAATACCATTGATTTGCATTATTCTTGTCATTTCCGATTCCGTTTTGTATCAACGACGCGTATTATTTCACGAGCGTGTATTTTTGTATCCATTTTTTTTTCTGTTTGCTATTCTTTTTCTTACTTACTTACTTACTTACTTACTTACTTACTTATTTTTGTTTTACACTTTTATTAATGTCAATTGAAACCATTGACTTATATCAAGAGGAGGAGAAGGAGAAGGGAGTTTAATTATTTAAAACGAATATTAAACATTTATGATCGAATCATTTCAACGTGTAATATATAAATTGTCATTCGATCGATCACTATTTCTTTTTTTTCTTTTTTTTCAAACTTTAATCTTATTGTTAGATCGAAGATTATGACACGACGAAAAAAGATCGATAAGTTACAATAAAGAAAGAAGAAAATTTCATTAACTTTCGTTCGTTCGTTCGTTCGTTCGTTCGACGAAATTTAATTATCTGGTTTTACCGTTAATTAACCGGTAACTCGTTTTATATATATATACAAATATGTACATATAGTATGTAAATATAAAACAATATTGTATGTAATATGTATATATACAGTACTGTATAGATATGTGCATATATATTTAAATAAAAAATATATTATTCTTTGGATATACCTCGTGGGCGTTTTCATCAACGCCTTCTGTCGTCTTCTAAGGACGTCCTCGAGGTCGTCCTCGAAGATGACAATAGCAGATAAGCTGCAATGCAAGGACAGACGTACGCATGCTCGGTTCGATTTTTCACGGTCAGCTGATAATCTCTCTCTCTCTCTCTCTTTCTCTCTCCTGTCTGTCTGTCTGTCTGTCTTTCTCTCTTCTAGGTCAGTAGATATTTTCGAACACCACGCCGTAGGTAACTACTACAGTTAGTTCAAGTTATACCCTTTTGCTCGTGAAAGATTTTCCTTTTTAGTGTCCGTACTCCATTTTGATAAATTTGAATTCGTCGATATGAAACGACGACGAAGACGACGAAATTATTTAATGAAATGTCAACGAGTTGGATAAATTCAGTTGGAACGTATACGTGAATGCAGTGCTTCGAGAGAAAACGAGGATTTCGAGTAAGTTCTCGTTTAATCGAGATGTCGTCGATAATATTCCTCGATTTATCGCGACCTAACCGTCCGGTATAAATATATTATAATATCAGGATTAATTCATTCTTTTTTTTCTTTTTCTTCTAAGGTATTATAAATAGGAAAATAAATGATTGTTATTATCATTTTAACGAAAATTCGTATTTCCAAACAAATCCACCATTTTATTATTAAAAATAAACTCGATAGTTGGAGGAAACCTTCCAATAGACGAACGTTAAGTTTTGGCGCGTAATTTGAATGAACGAATGAGAATCATTGGAACGAATGTTTTGGATAAAAACGTATATATTACTGGACGGTATGATCGCTTCTCAATGCCCCTCTCCATTTCTATTTCTCTATTTTTCCTTTTCTTATTACTTTACGCAAGAATCTAATGTCATTTTTTCTCTTTTTTTTTTCTTCCTCTTCTTCTTTCTTTTCGAATTTTCGTATAGAGAAAAACGATGAGTTCAACTGCGTCATCCAGTACTGCATCTCTTTGCATAAATGTAAACGATAATAATCGACGATACTCGACCGACGATAATAGATGCAATTATCAAGAATTGGAAAACACCGGGACGGCTCGACTTTTACCCGATTGCCGGAACGACAATTCACGTGAAAAATCTAAAGGATTCTTCGATAATTTACGCGTTGACACGTGAGTCACGCTCTTATTTTTGTTTGTTCTTTCGAAAAATTTCTTCTTATTACTTTACAATCCTATTTTGTTGTTTTTCTTTTTTTTTTAATTTATTTACGAAAAATTTAATATATTTTTTCGTAGTTTTAATCCCATAATATCATCCATAAATATCGATAATTTCAAGTTCTATATTGTCGACGGTAGTTGAAATCAATTCGATGTCGACAAAGTCCAAGCAAATATATATATAATCAAAACATTCAATTCCTTTTTATTATGCGATACGACGCTACACTGGTTCTAAGCTGTTGTATTTGTAGAATCAAACCTTAGACACACTGTATATATATATATATATA